GTTTCTCTGCAATCTTTATTTAGCTTATTTTGCTTGCGCTCCTTATAGCAACTGTGAAGTCCTAAACAAATAATTTTAGCAAAATGATGTGCAAATACATGTACAAATTCCTTACCAAACTGAAATCACTGGTGATTATTTGTTCAGCATTAAAAATATGACCAAATATGCCTGTGTTGAGCTGCTACACTGACAATAAATTCTTGGGCAAAAACGTTCCTGCGTGCTGTCATTGAGTCGTTTATTTTTTAATAAATAGATTCAGTTTGGCATAGTACTTAAGGTGTTGGACTAGAAACAGAGAGTGAGTTCTAATCTTCCGCTGGGCATGAAAGGTGGCTGGGCAAGTTTGTGCCAGTCCCTCTCTGAGCCGAACCCACCTCCCAGAGTGGTTGGTATGGGGAAAATAGGAAGCAGAAGCATTATGCACACCACACTGAGTTGTACAAAATAAAGGTAGAAAATAAATCTAATAACAATTATTTTTAAAAAATTATATGACGTGGCTAACAATAATTGCTCTGACAAGCTAATTACTTTTAAATACTTCTCTAAAAATGTTTGTCACTTAACATCTTGCAATTACATCTATGCAAATGACATTTCAATATACTGTTTGCAGTTTATATTGTTGCATGGAAATGTCACTCTTTGAAATACAGGCAGGAGGTCTAGTTTCGTTTTGTGTTAAATACCACAATCCATATTCCTCGAGTATGCTTCTCCTTCAGCTATATGAGTCTAAGATAAGAATTAAGATTTTCCATATGGCTGTGTGATACAGAGGTAAAGTTGTTGGACTAAGATTCTAGTTCACCCTTTGCCACTGAAGTTTATTGGGCGACTTTGAGACAGCCACAGTCTCAGTCCAACCTACTTGAAAGGGAGGTTGTTATGGGGGAAAAATAGAAGAGAGAGGACTATGTACACCATCAGGATCTCCTGAACAAAAAGGCAGGATATAAATTTGACGAATAAACAAGTAAAAAATGAAATTATTTTGGCATACTACAATATGAGAGCATTCTATTTTCCCTTGCAATTACAATCACATGCCCTGCATGCATAAACAACTGAGTGATACGTTCATTCTTCTATGGAGTGTAAAATCTGTGTCATGATTGCTGCGAGAAACATGCAATTTGTATCAGGGATATGCTGCAGCCTGTTTTGTCCTTGGGCCGCCGACAAGGTCATTGACATTGATATATTGGAATAATTGGGATTTTATTAATCCCTCTTTGCAACTTGCAATGTGCTTTGGAAGTGTTAGGGCTATATAAATAATTAATTTAGGCAATCCTTTGACAATACTGAATGTTATTACAACTATACACTTAAACCATTTTCCATAAAATCAGATTAACCAAAGGGAAAATAATGATTAGGAGTTCAGCTCATTCCCTACTATTCAAACTTAATATTTGCACTAGTGCATAAGTGCTTGGTATGGATATAGGATACAGCTATCCAATATGCTCTGCAACACAGTGACTAACCAAATGTTTTCCGGAAACTCACATGTAAAGCATTTAGGACGCTTTAAGACTGATTGCCCTAATTTTTCGTTAGATTGTCTAGTCATCTTTTAAAACCACTTGAAGCGATGGGCATTACTGTGTCTCATCGTTGTGAAGTCCACAGGTAAAAAGTATGTGGATTGGTGGGCCCCATCAAAATTTTTAGAGCACGCTGCCGGTTCATAAAATTCTTGCCGTGAGTGGTGAGGATCCCTGCTCACAGTTGGCTTGCTGTAGTGAAAGGAAGCACTGTACAAAACAACCATTTATCCAAAGGCAACAGGTTCAGCTTGCTCCTCTGTCCTGAGGCAGATGCTAATATAATGATGGTGGAAGAACATTTATCCAATTTTCCTCAACATATGCATTTCTGTACATCTATCAAGTGTGTCTCTCAAATGTTTTCTACCGAAGTTTTACTAACCCCAAATATAGTCTTGTCTTATAGGAGAGCTGGTTTAGCCTGTGAATGTCTGTTGACCTTTTCAACACTTTTTTGCTTTTTGAAATGTGATGAGAGATGGGCAGTGTTCCAAATGTGATTGCTTCAGAGCAGGATCTAAGAATATTACTGTTTTACAGGGGTGTGCTGGGTACTGTACGCAGAAGGATTTTTTTAAAAAGCCAAGATGGTGCCATACCCGTGACTGAAAAAGTACCCCCTTTAATGTGCTGTGACACATGTAAAAAGGGTGGAGTTTCAATCACATGGTTGTGGCCACTATCCTGACTTTTTTGATCTCTCCTTCACGGACACCCCTGCTGTTTTATATTTGCAGTTTCATTTTGTCCCCTTCCGACTGAAAACTAGCATGGAATTTACACTTTTAACAGCTGCTGCGTGCTATGCTGACACTTTTATGGAGCCATCAATCACAACACGAAGATCCCTTTCTTGGTAAATCCTTATCAGTTTTTATTTGATGTGTTCATCACTTTATGCTCACTTACAATGAACTGTTGTTTTTCCATGCAGGGATAAGTCATTTTGTAGCTTTTCACATCCCCCTTGTTTTGTTTTACCACCCTGAAGAATCTGGTTGCTGCAAACGTGGCCATCATGCTACTTCCTCAAGTTAAGGTTATTTATGAATAACTTTAAAAAAATACAGATCTACCAGTGTGAAAATTGTTCATTTATTATTCTTTTGTTTATTGCATTTGTTTCAGTTTTTTCCTTACTTTACCACTCGAGATGGCATACTCCTTCCTACAGGAAAAACAATACCTTTAGTCCTAAATCTATAGATCTCTGGATTCTTCATGGCATCATTCCTGATTGCTGGTCGTGATAGCTTAGATAGATAGGGCTCATAGCTCAACCTCACTTGGAGGGTCCCAAAGGTTGTTCTAAAGTTCCAAATTATTTTGGGGTCTGTGTGCTGGTCCTTCATTGACTTTCTTTTTTCTTTCAGAGTTGGGGGCAGTTCTATACATATAGAAGGGAATGCTCGGGACTAATACAGTTCTCCCAGTTACAAATGAGGAAACTTTACGCAGGTCAATACGTAGTCATTGGAAGTAGTCATTTATATATTCTTTAGGCAGTTCAGGATTTTGAAGACTGAATTATTGAGGTTGACCTGAATGCTGACATTGCTGCGTAATTAGTTCTGCAACTTGTTCTTTAACTTCCGTGTCATCATGATATAACAAAGATGCCAGTTTTTGAGTATATAGAGAGTTCCCTGAGAGAATAGAAAAAATTGAGCCTTCACTGTATTGATAGTGGATAATAGCACTCTTCTCATTTTTCATGGACTTTGTCAAGTTTGTGGCAAATGCAAGGACTCTGAGCAAAATGTCTTTGTTTACGCTGCTGTCAAGCAGAGACGGGAGAAGAGGTGCCTGGAAAATTGAAATACATGCAAAAAAGGTGGGTCATGTTCATGAATAATAAGTTTAAATGAATAGTGTGAATTTATTGACGTGTACTTACTCATTTAAGAAAATTAACACCAAATAGATCATAGTAATACACTATTTTGAATGGTCCCAATGGCTTCATAGCCAATTACATGTTGGGCCGCTTCAGGGAGCATAATTCCTGAAAATGCACTGGTTTATACTTTATGCCTTAAAAAAAAATCTGAATTCTAGAATGGGATTGCATGGAAAATTTCTATTCCCATTTCAAGGCCACAATGCTAATGTCACTTAAATAACTTCACTGATTATTTGTAAACAACAATAACAAAAAAAAATATCCTAGGCTACTATAATGAATAGTATTTGGGTGCATGCTATTCATCACTTATCATTCTATGCACTTACACTAATATATTTGTCTGTCATAAAAACTGAACCACCTTATTTTTAACAATCATTGTTCTGGCTCAGAGCCTGGAATATGCCATCCTCTGCAATAGTTTACTACTATAGAACTAGAGGCTAAGTATTCCACTACTGATTCTCTCTCCCTGTTTGGAACATATGCCAGAATAGTCAGATGCTGTAAGTTTTATCTTGCTTTCCCCTTATCAGATAATGAGCTTAACATTACATATAATGTAGCTAAATTTGTGTTGCAGCTATTAAAGCACACAAATTATCATAGTATTAGAACTGAGGTAACCAAGAATAAATATGCCCAGATGAGTTATGTTATACTGTGCTGTATCATTAGAATTTTACATATGTTTATAATAAGTTTTTACATTATTGCAATGTAATTTTGTTGTCCACCTGTTTTTATTGTTCTGATAACAAACTGAATAAATCTGTCTGTCCTCTTGAGGGATATTCAATGAGGCAATTAGCCCCACCATTTTATTTTATATTATATTATATTTTTAAATTAAACAAGCTAAACCTATACTGTCTGTTGATATATAAAATAGGCATGCACTATAACTACAGCTTACAACAGTGTAGGCGCATAGAAATTTCAGCAGCTATGCAATGAAAGGCAAAAGTTTTCCTTCAAAATTAGTAGGAATTCATATTATAAGAAATAAAATGACTGACTGAATGAATGAAACAGTCAAACAAGAAACTCTGGAAGGAGGACAAAATAAAAGTAGTTTTACCTGTGAATTAAGTAGATGTTCTGCCATAGCTGGGTTTGCTGATAAATTCACAAGCACTTTTAGAACTTGAACCTGCAGTATAGAAAAAGGTTTCTCTGACTCATCTATGAAATTAATTATGTGTCAGAACTACATTTTATGGACAGCTAAGATTTAAATGTAGTAGGTAGCTTAGAAGTATCAATTTAAGAGAACACCATAAACCTTTTTAGAAATGTATGTCTCACTTTTCTTACTGGTTCAAAGGTTGGATCCAGAGTTGTATGGAAAAGAACCATGAAAACTAGTTGCCTGCATAAGTTCATGTAATTTTTGCCATATTCTTCAGAATTTGATCTGATCTATAGGACTGTAAGACTTCACTGAATGCTCCTGGAGAAAGGGCTGGAGTTGCACAAAAGAGGGGAAATTGCTAAGCAGATGATTGTGCAAGTGGATGTAATGGGCTGTGAGAATAACCTTGATGAGGAGCGGGGAGAGTCACAGCCAAGGCAATGGTCAGATAAGAGAAATCTCAGCCCAAAGTAGGAACGGAATGTGAGAAAGTGTCTCAGACTGGACCCTCCCTAGTTCTCTTTAGGATAAAGGCAGGGAGGGAAGAAGCACATTCGAAGTTGAAAGATTCTGTTACTGTGACCCTACTGTAAAGTAGTTTTAGTATTCATGACTTAGGTGTTCAAGTCTGGTCTACCTTGAAGGGCTGACAGTCAAAGAGAGTGGAAGCCAGCAACGCATCACACTCACTTCCCAAACGTAATAAAACTTCACTGCCTTTTAATAAAATTTGTTAGTCAGAAAAGGTGCTACCAGATTCCTGATTTTTCACAAACAGAAAGAGCCCTTTTGTTCAA